TCGTTAAAAAGTGAACAGTTGGAACGGCAACTGTGTCAAGTCGTCCGTACCGTTTGCGGAGTCATTTACGTCTACTGCCTTTGAAAAATAATCCGACGGCTCTTGCCAACCCCTGCTAGCGCTAGCTAGTGCTGCTAGTGCTTCCTAGTGCTGAAGCCGATGTTAAATGCTGATAACCGACGCCGTACAATCCAGTGTCGGCGTCATGGAGTTTTTTTTCTTTTTAGTGTCCTTAATGGGCGATTGAATGTTATTTTATTGCGTCGTCGTGTTGTTGGAAGTCGTTAGCAACAGTTTGTGACGGCAAATGGCGTCAAACAAATCATTTGATGTCCATATATATTATTATTATTATTATTATTATTATTACCACATGTCACTGTCATACATGTCAAAAATCTTTGAGCAATATTACAATAAAATATGGATTGAAATAACTAAAATAAAGTAAAGATAGGAAGGCTAGCTACAGCTTTATTTCGGAGAGTTTGTTTAGATCAGCGTCAATTTCAAGTCTGGTTGAGGAACAACATTTCAATCGATTTCAGAGCTGTTTCGACGAGAGCGTATCATTTTTGTTTCACACCATCAGTCATAATCGTCGTCCCGTCTGTTCCGTCCTCCGCGAACCAGGAAGTAGCCTAACAGATAAGCAAACAAACCCAAATAGAAAACTCTTAAGAATTGTTTCCACTTGAATGAAAAGTTGCACCTTGGTTGGAGGTCTTTAATATACTCGAGATACTTTCTAGTGTTACGATAATGCTCACATTGCTTCAAGAACACCTCCAATGGTGGCCCCAGACTTTTGCGGAGTTCTGTATGTCCCTTTATGTTTCAATAAATCTATCCAAATATTGATTCAAGTCTCTCTTCCATCATCCGCATTTACGTTTGAGTCCAAGGTTGATGTTTTCTCAGAGGGTGGCTGTTTGATCAGCCTGGTTCAAACACGCCTCCGTATTTACACTGCGCATCCTCACCTGTCACTCGCTCTCTTCATGAATGGCTTCTTTATACCACTTTATTTCACCTTTATGGCACTACTTTTGGGACTACTGAAATCATTTGAGTCATCTGTGGACTCTGAGTGCTAAATGCTAAGACCAAAGCTAACAATAGATCAAGCTTCATCGTGCCTAAATTCTTACAAACTTTCGACTGGGGCTTTTATCTGGCTTAATTTGCTTGCCTTGTGTGCCAAATGTGGAGTCTAAATGCTCATGTTAAGCTAACAACGAAACAAGCTTCAACTGTGGGAGCTGAACAAATTTCCAGGCGTGACCAGAAGCAAGCGACCAATTGTTTCTTGATTCAGGGCAACTTTTGGAACCGCCATTATTCATGTAAGCATGAATTCGCTTGACTTGTTTTCGCTGAGGGACTCTCAATGCTAATGTTAAAAATAAAGATAACAACAAAACAAGCTTTAACTGTACAAGATCAAGAGATTTGTTTTGCCGACTGTCAAACCGAATCAAGTCGTTTCCGCTTTCTGTTTGGCTCTGAAATGCACAAAAAAAAAAAACCATTCGTAATTTATCTAATAGTCGTGCGACCAGTCAGGAACACCCAATCGTTCATCTTTCAAACTTTAACTTGGCCTTGATAGTTGTCCGACTGTCAAAACAAATCAAACTGAAGTCGATGGTGCCGTCTGTGGCCTCAAAATACAAATATAAAATGTATTGCTCACGACGCAACGACACGGCTTATAATTCCTTATGAGTGTTCATGTTTGCTTATGCTAATTGTGCCGAGTGGAAAAACAATCAGAATGACGACTTCCCCGGTGGAGGTAAATATTGACACGCTGACTAAATGGTCCAGTTTGTATGTCATTAGCCTCCAGCATTGTGGAGTTTTGTCGTCTCGACGAGTAATCAGAATACAACCGGAACTTCTCTTTTTTTTTCCCATATATATAATTTCTGGCTTTGGGAGGCTATTTCAGCAGTATGCTTTTCTACTTTTCCTCAGTGAACCTCTTAGAAGCCTCGGGGCTGAAAAACATCCCACCGTATTATCCGCAACTCATCGCGCTCCTTTAATCACCTCATTTCATCGCAATCTTTCGTCCCCAGTGGCGGCTTGGCTGTGGAAGGGAATCGTGTCACCTTCCTTTTACATTTCAACACTTTCTGTATGATGTGGTGGGTGAATTGATTGGTAGATTTCATTTTTTATTTTTCTTATTTTTTGGTTACATTGAAGAATTTTTTTATTGTTATCCTTCCATCCAACCATCCGCTGATCCTCACAAGTGTTGCGGGCGAGGACGTGCTAACCAGTTATCCACCGTGCCACCCTTTTATTGTTATAAATATTAAGAATTACATACAAAATGTCATGTATTTATTTTTTAATGACAGCATTTTCTTAACAAAACGAATTTTAAAAATATAGGGTTTTTTTTTGTTGACAAAATTAAAAACTAGCTTTTTAAAATGTCATTGTAAAATGATTTTTTTTTAAACTTAAAATCATCTAAAAAAATAAACGCTTCTTTTATGTGAAAATGAATAGTTAAATTGCTTTCAAGCAACAAAACAATAAAAATGCTTCTAAATAATTTGTGAAATGTTATTTTTGTGAAAAGATAATTGTTATATTATAACTAAAATACATATTAAAAAAAATCACTGGCGAAAATGTTGGGTTTTTTTTTTGGCTGTGTGTTTTATGTGTTGAAATGCACCGCAAAGTCCCGTCAAACTCCTTCCCCGGATCGGCGCGAGCAAATTGCCTTTCGCGGGGGCGGGAGCACGACTCGTTTTTCAAAGACGCCAAATATCGGCATCCGCATATCCATCCATCCTGCCCACAGATTGAAGAAAGACAACAAGGAAGAGGAGGAGGAGGAAGAGGAGGCTTGATGGATAAATGAATGCCATGATCTCGTCCCATTAATACAGTATCACTCTCGTTGGGTTGGGCTAAGTGCCGCGTGTGTGCGTGTGTGTGTGTGTGTGTGTGTGTGTCTGTGAGTGTGTGTGTGTGTATATGTGTGTGTGCGTGTGTGTTTTGAGCTGTCTGGACCCGACACTGTGAATCAACCGCATCATAAAGCTGTAAAAGGATGTGCATCATGTGGGCGCGGTTGCAGTTTGCCTCCCCAAAACAACGTTAATGATGCAAAGCAGAGACAAAACTTTTTATCTGTGCTACCACAAAAGCCTACTCGCTCTCTCTCTCGCTCTTTTTTTTTTTTTAATGACTTATGAGTTACCTTCATGCAGACTTTCACTTTTTAAGCCACTCACCGCTTAAATTCCCTGTCACAAAACTGCAAGTTGTTTTGTCACGCAACCATATACTGTATAGGGAGGGGGGGGAGAGAGAGAGGAATCTGATTGAGAAGTATCTTTTGATTCCCCAATTATTGTCTTTTGTGTTGGATGCTCACAACAGTCCCTCCAAAGTTTCCCTCCCGAATCCATTCTCATGTTCTCTCATGTTTCCTCACGGTGAGTCAGCCATTCAAGTGTCGGCCAGCCGTTCTCCGCCAAGGCCTCTTGTCATCCCTGGCGTCATAAAGCCGTCACAGTGAGCCAGCATTGGGGGGGAAAAAAATAGCCTTCTCTTTTCACAGGCCTCCGACACGTTTCTAAGAATACAAGTGGTCGAAATGGCCCAATTATAGCGCAGACGGGAAGGTTGTGCGATGTCAGCTTTGCTTGCTCTGCCCCGAACACGATGGTCAGATGGTGGCTTCTCTTGGAATGAGAGCCAGATGCTAAGGGGTCAAAATGGCTTTGGACCATGCGGGAATGTAATGTCCCATCTCTCTCTCTCTCTCTCTCTCTCTCTCTCTCTCTCTCTCTCTCTATATATATATATATAAAAGAAGGTAGTGTGACATAAAGCATTTTTTTTTTTAGTTCTCCAAAGTAAGCATCCGGCATTTCCATGGGAAGACTTCATTTTTCCGCCGTCTCTCTGTATTTTGCTGCGGAGGGAGGAAGTGTTTCCCACTTTTCCTGCCAACGTGTTTCCAGTCGCTTGGAACATTTGAACAAGCATAAGAAGCCTCCAATGGCTCCTCTGGGTGACTTCCACCCTTTATTTATTTATTTATTTATTGAGGGGCGTGTGGGGGGTGCAATGGCTGGTGGCCGTTGGACATCTCGACTGGCAATTTGACCGCTGACGCTTTGCACATTTTGTTTTGCAGAATAAATTAAATTCATTTATTCATTCAAAATTCTTGACAAAAATGTACCATAATTCTAAAAAAGTTTGGGGAAATTATACATGCATACTCAACTTCTTTCCACTTTTTTTTTTTTAAGGCTTATTCCAAAATGTATAAATATTAAAACAAAATCATCAAATTCTCCCCTTCACTTTTTCCACATTTCAGATTACACTTCTTTTGTATTCCAAAAGAAGTTATTCATTTGTTTCACACCAAAAAAAATCCATGCAAATGTATAAAAACATTTTTTAAAGTGTTGTGGCCATACATGCACATTTTTGGCGTGCACACAAAAATTTGTTGCAGCTGTATTCTAAAATGAATTCAATGCAACATTTGTGTACAGTACATATTTAATTCATTCTGCTATCGGGCAGTAATTGTGGGATTAAAGAGACCCCCTTCCCTTGAATACCATTTATCGGCTCCGTATGTGCCCAAAACATGCATCTGCTCACACGCGCAAACATGCTGGGTCATCCTCTCCCCACCATTGGAATCATGAACAGACAATGATTATATTAAAGCCAAACCCACAAGACTAATTTCACTAAGTGCAAAAAGGCATTTGCCCGAGTGTGTGCAAACACAATCAGGGGCCGTCTGTCCCTCCACATGTGCAAGCTCAACAAAAGTCAGAAAAGCTGCTGGCCTCTTAGCTTATCTGCCTCGCTAAGTGTTTTTTTTTTTTTTTTGGGTGCATCCGAGTGGCTGCGAAAGGACACCAAATGGACCTATTAGGGCGTCGTAAGTGTAAATGGAAATTGATGGGAGAAGATGATGGGCCAGGGTGGAGGATTTTCATTATTCCCGAAATATGGGCTTGGTTTTGTTGTTTTCACATGAGATTGCGTCACACCACAAAATATGCACAGAAGTAAAACATATCTGTCTTTCTCTACTTTTAGATCACCAGAAATTGGAGCGAGAGGCGAGAATCTGTCGTCTGCTCAAACATCCAAACATAGGTGAGTTATTGGCACACGGGGTCGTGACAGGAAAGCTCAAAAAGTTTCCAGTCAAAATACGGTAGCCTGTCATCCAGCCAAATAACATCCGGACCCCAAAGGTGCTTTTTAAATCCGAGCACAAAGTGAAATTTCACACAGGGAAGTCCAGGCATGGAGCTACAAAGAGGGAGCGGGGGTCGGGGGGGCAGAGCCCCTTTAGATCCACTCTAGAACTGCCACTGAAGTCAAAGCAAAAAATAAATAAATGAATAAATCGCCCGGACAGCTGCTCGCATCTCAAAATATTTGCCTATGTCTGAGTCAGTGATTGACATACCGAGTAGCTTTGATGAAATTTCTTTTTCCCCATCTTCTGTTTATCTGTGCCAGTTCGACTTCATGACAGCATTTCAGAGGAGGGCTTCCATTACCTCATTTTTGACCTGTAAGTACGCACGTTCGCTGGATGTTGCATTTTGATGAGATATTACGCGGCTGCAAATAACAATGAAATCAATGAAACTGAGACTGTATCCTTGCTTACCAGAGGGGTGATACAATGTCGCTTTCGAGAGTCCTTGCTAGCCAATTTTCATCAGGGAAGGATGAAGGGAACCAGTTCTGGAATAAACCAAGGCAGGAGTCCAACAATATGTTGGCGAGGAAAATTAAAAGGGCTAAATATGAGTTATTTTAATTGGTAAAAAAAAAAAAAAAGTACAAATATTTCCAAAATACTTTCCTAGCGTTGTATCCGTGTGGCACTTTGGGCCAAATTTTGAGGGGGGGGGGGTAACTTTAATCATTTTTGGATTTTGGCTGTCACGTAATATGTGGGAAAGATGAAAGGAGTGAAATTGGAGGTTTATTTATTTATTTAAAGTGTTTAGCAAATTTGGATTTTTTTTTTTTTTTTTGTAATGTTGTTTCACTCGTATTTAATTGAATCCACTTTGGAATAAAGTTGGAAGGGAGTGGAAAATTTGTAGGCAGGGAAATTATTATTTTTTTATTCATTCACAAAAGTAAAAAAAAAAAGTTAATTTTTTTTTGTCTTCATGTAATTTTGTGTGGAAAATATTTTTTAATCATCATTATTGTAATATCAGTCACTGATGGTGTAGTGGTATACTGTGTGTGTGTGTGTGTGTGCGTGTGCGTGTGTGTGTGTGTGTGTGTGTGTGTGTGTGTGTGTGCGCGTGTGTGTGTGTGTAGGGTGACTGGTGGGGAGCTGTTTGAGGACATTGTCGCCAGAGAGTATTACAGCGAGGCAGACGCCAGGTGCGTTCCGAATGATGTCCTCGTCCTATTTCTGATGCCTTTGCATGTTTTTGGTTTTTTGCTTCCTGGCACCGTTGTGAGCGTGCGGTTCTCTAAATGCCATTTTATGAATAAGTTATGAAGAGCTGGGATCGTAGTTTGTTGGCGAGCATGAACCACCCACTCGGAGCGCGCGCAAACGCACACACGCACGCACATTCACACAATAAAAAGGACAGAATCTGTTTTGATAATCGCACATGTGGCCTATGCAGAACTTGTTTTTTTCCATTTTCTCGTTGTCTCAAATCTGATTAATAATGACAACAAAAGGCAGCCCCGACCATTCGATTTTATTCATCATCAACACCCCAAAGCAGTTTCAACATAATTTATTGGAAACTCGAAATAAAAGTGACGGAAACCAGAAAAAAAATCACTTTTCTCAATGGAGACGTGTCCGCTTTTTGCATATCAACTCTTCAAATATCTCCACGTAAGTGTGACATGCATATGTGTGCAGCCACTGCATCAATCAGATCCTCGAGAGCGTGAGCCACATCCACCAGCATGACATCGTGCACCGGGACCTGAAGGTGAGACATTATGGCATTATTCCTTTCTTCTCTTCACTATCCCTCCTCTCCTGTTTTGTCTGCACCCCCTCCTTCGACTCGCCTCGCTCTCTTCTGGTACGAGCATGACGACAATGGGACAGATGCTATTTCTGGCGCGGGTTGACATGATGTCGGGTGACGATTTCAACCCCCGCCTCCCGTCAAAGCTGAATTAGTCACCCTCGACCGCATTCTGACCTCATCAGCTCTGTTGCGATGTAGTAATAACAGTCAAGACAGACTATAATCGGTCCCTCATGAATCTTCAGTCGCCTATTTCACACAGAGATCCTGCAAAATTGCACGTTGAAAGCCACATCAGAAGATACGGCGGTTAGCTGTATGAGCCTTTCACACCGCACCCAGCGAAATTTCACACAGTGATTTGCCAATTCATTCAGAAACCCCTTTCACACAAAACTGCCAAACCTCAGACACTAAAGAGTCACATAACACTGAGGAAGTATTCCACATGGGTGTCATATAGAGGTTGAACGATTAAAGATTATTTTGTAATCGACTATGAAGTCATTGAGTCCAAGTTGATTCATCGATTTCGTCACGTTTGTGTGTGGCTAATAACGTCAATTAAAAAAATATATATTTAATAAGCAAACTCCCTCCCCACAAGTTTTGAAACATTCGTGTCGTCACCTCCTCTTTCATATTAAAATGCCACTTTCTTGCTTTACGCTGCCCCCTGTCGATTGGAGTGTGAAATACAAGCAGTGGTTTCACCTACAAATCGTCTAAAGTGTGTTCTGTTTGCCTCCCTGGTATTGACAAGGGCCCGCTCGCCTGATTATTTCAAAAAAAAAATCTATATATATATTTCAGGAAACAAAGGCCGTCTGGGCTGGGTTGCCATGGTAACCCTGGGGTGAGGTCACGGTGGCTGCTGCAGTAGCGACTCATTACGTCACCTCCTATTCATCCAGCTCGATTTTCTCGGCTCCGTGCACCCCATGCGGCATGGAAACATGCCTAAGTCAACATGTTAGAAATGCATCCGACTGAATGTATACTGACGCGTGTGCGTGCGTGTGTGTGTGTGTGTGTGTGTGTGTGTGTGTGTGTGTGTGTGTGTCTCCTCCAGCCAGAGAACCTTCTCCTAGCCAGTAAGATGAAGGGAGCAGCAGTCAAGCTGGCCGATTTTGGCTTGGCCATCGAAGTGCAGGGGGACCAGCAGGCCTGGTTCGGTAGGTACTCCTGTCACAGTTTGGTCAATTTCACATTTCATTTTTGGGACCACCACCACCCCTTGCCGTTACCCGCATTTCATTCCAATTGCACATTCTGATATCATACTTATGTTTCCGTGTGTCCAGGCTTTGCGGGAACTCCAGGGTATTTGTCACCAGAGGTGCTGAGGAAGGACCCGTACGGCAAGCCAGTGGATATCTGGGCATGCGGTTAGTATGTAGAGGCGTCATCTTCCCACTGTAACATGAACCCGGCAACTCATTTTCACATGGCATGTATGTGTGCATCAGGCGTGATCCTGTACATCCTGCTGGTGGGCTACCCTCCCTTCTGGGACGAGGACCAGCACAAACTGTACCAGCAGATCAAGGCTGGAGCGTACGACGTCAGTATAATGCGGCGCTGTTTCTGTTGTGAAAATGCAGGATTTCCTTAAATACTGGCTTCCTTTTAGACCGGGGGTGTCCAAATTTTTTCGGTTGTGGGCCCTGTATAGAAAAATGGAAGGATGAAAGGGCCACTGTAAAAAAAAAAAAAAAAAAAAAAATGTAAACACACTAAAGTCAATCAAGAAAGGAGCTGTACAGTTTCTCTTGCCTAGTTAATTTCATCAGCTTTCTGTTCAAGGTGTAAAGGCAAATTTTTTTTGGGGGGATGGCAACAGCCCTCTCCCACACAGAATAGATCCAGCCCTGCACTTAACAGCAGCCGAGTCACTTCTCCACATTCAGAATGGGGAGAAAAAAAAAGAACAAACTGTAGTAAGGTGACCATTTTTCACTAACTTGAGGATCATTAATGTGATGTCTTCATTAACCCTTTGTGGGACAGCGGTTTACTACATTGGACAGCTTAGCATGTCATCAGGTTACAGGGTCCACGGAAGGGTTCATCAGCCATTGAGGACAAAGTGGAAGAAACTTCTTTTTGCCTCTAAAATTGAATTATCTTTACTCACTACAGTGTTTTGAAAATAAATTATTTTCACCATAAATGGTTCATTTGTATCTTTGAATAGAGAGAAAGGTTCGTTTTTCCTAATTTTTAGTGTTTTTTTTTTTTTTTTTTTTTTTTTTGGGGTCATGTCGAGGGCCGCTGAATAATGGATGACGAGCCGCAAATGGCCCCCGGGCTGTAGTTTTGACACTTATGTCTTAGCCAGTAAATCACATCTGCTTGAATGAAAAAAATGCCACACCTCAAATAAGCCGCTAAGAAATAGTGATGACTTGAATTATTATTGTTTTTTTTTCCTTTGTGCGGGAGATTGATTTAAAGTGTTGCGGCTGCAATGAAGTCAAGGGGATTCATATCTCGGTGATTTATATTCCAATGACGACTTCTGGTGGAGACTTGTTTTGACACAGATCGCGGTTTTCTCTGCATTTGAATATGTATCCACCCCATTTGAGGAGAAGGCTCGACAAGAGCAAATATTAGTAGCTAGTCATTGTAATGATCATTTGAATATTTATGTCTACATAAGTGCATCTTGCTGTGGTTTTCAGTTCCCATCTCCAGAGTGGGACACGGTGACCCCCGAGGCCAAGAATCTGATCAATCAGATGCTAACCATTAACCCTGCCAAAAGGATCACTGCCGACCAGGCTCTTAAGCATCCCTGGGTCTGCGTAAGTTAAATATACTACATCATCATCTTCTTCTTCTTCTTCTTCTTGGAGTCCAGTCGTTTTTCTTTTTTCCCCCTTCCCCCTCACTTACCGCTTAATGAAGTCATGCGCTGACTTCATTTGAGGGGGAAAAGTTTCCAAAACTTACTTTCCATCACTTCAGAGGACACGTCTCTGGCTCGCATTAATTTCCTCGAGGTGAGGTGTTTGTTCCCTAAAGGCGACAGTGTGGTGTTTTTTTTTGTTTGTTTGTTTGTTTTAAATAGAAAATATATTTTTTTTTAATCTGTTGACATGTGCCCTTTATTCTGAAGACATTGCGGCAGTTAATTTATCGCTATTAAATTGTCAAACATTTAAAAGCTTTTTTTTTTTTTTTTTTGAATGTGTTTGCGCGTTTAAAGGGGCACTTAGTCAAAGTTTGAATAATGTCATAATTTGATTACAAAATTGATTAAAATCGGTTATCGGATTTTGCGGGGGGGGGGGGTTAAAAACTGGGGATTTGGAGAGCCAGAAAATGAATGAAAGCCATTTTTGGGCTGTGTTTCCGGAAGTAAAAGTCCCTCGCCGAGTCACAATGCCCTATTCAATGCAATGTACAAAAGTCAAATGGAAGAAATGAAAGGTCCTCAATTTGATGGAGGTGGCCTTAAAAACGTCTTCAACACTTTCATTTCTGTTGTACGCGTGTATTGATGCACCATTCTTCCTCCTTTACCACAGCAACGCTCCACCGTGGCCTCCATGATGCACCGCCAAGAGACGGTGGAGTGCCTGCGCAAGTTCAACGCCAGGAGAAAACTGAAGGTGAAAGTTCGCACGCACACTCAATGAATGAAATGATATTCCGATAATTTCAAAGTCCAAATTGCTTTACAGGGAGCCATTCTCACCACGATGCTCGTGTCCAGAAATTTCACTGGTAAGTCGGAGTTGATGGCTTTATCTTTGTGGGTTTTCTTTTGTTTTGTCTTTGCTCAATCCGAAATGTCAAAGAGGAGAAATGGACACAAGTCTTATTCATTCTTCACTTTGGGTAGTGCACATCAGGGTGTTGCCTTGATCCAGGTGCGTTAATGCCTTAATGACTTTGGCGTTTTAATGCATCCATGTAAGTAAAGTCGCCCCCCCTGGGGCCGCTGCCAACTGTTTTCTTTTGGTCGGTGTTGATCCAGACGGAGTGACAGTGCGGCTGAGACCTTACCTTAGTTATCGGAAGTTTAAAATCTGACGGAATTATGGCTTTGTTTTGGGTCTGTCTTCATTGAAAGCGTCTCAGGTGTATGATGGCTTTGTTCTGGGTCTGTCTTCGGTGAATGCGTCTTAGGGGAGGTTTTAAGCTATTGAGCATCTCATTAGGTCACGCAGGACTTCAGCCGTTTCTGTTCGAGTCGGAACACAATCGGCTCCATCACGTTTTCCCAACTAGTAGGAGAAGCTAACGTTGCAGTCTTTTGTCTTTCGTCAATCAGTGCTCTTTTTTTGACAGACATCACTGCATCACATCAGTCACACAATATCGAAATTGAAGTCCTTTTGCAAACTCAACTTAGCAGTCCATGAATTCACTTGGTGCTCTTTCTCATTCAACGCCACCGGCAGATGTGACTGCAGTAAGCGATATTGGTCACAGACGTCGTGAATGATTGTCTCGGCTGGATGGACCGTGTGAGAGTCAGCTAGCTAGCTGGCTAGCTAGTGTGAGAAACTAGCTAGATAGCTAGCTAGCGTGAGAAGCTAAGCTAACAGTCTACGTTTTAACTCAGTCAGTGCTTGTTCTTGATGAACCTCACAAAGATAAGACTGAAATGCACCACACCGGTCAGATGATCCAAATTGAAGTCCTTTGTTCAAAGAAAGTTGCTAGCTAATCAGTCTTGGAAAACGCTAGCAGTCTATGTCTTTACTCAGGACTCCTGAGTAAAATATCCAAATCAGAATCCGTTTTTTTAATCAAAGCTGATGAATTCAGGCTGAGAGTCCTGTCAAGACACTCGAGTCAGAACAAAAACGGGATGTTTTGTCAAAAAGGCAAATCCCACAGACGCACAGTCAATCCTTGGATGCTGGCTGAAATTAGGTGTACAGAAACTTGCATTCTGTGATCATATCACCATTCAATGTCCAAAATTGTATATATTGGGGTCAAATGGCACTACTTTTAAATCATCCCAACAGAGGTACAGACTGGAATTTAATCTGTAAACAAGGCTGCCGTCCCATCTCCCCAACCGTGACCCCCTTCCCACACCCCACATTGAATCCCTCTCTGTCCCGCTGTAGTGGGACGGCAGCACACCAGTCCCGCCGCCACAACCAGCACTGCCGCCATGGCGCAGGAAGGTACAATTGACCCACCATCACCGTCTTTTGCATTCGGGTTTGTCGGCATGAGGTCTGCGGCAATGCCCCAGTAAGCCAAACCGCCCCCCTGCCCCCACCCTACTGCTACTCGCTGACCAGACCACTTTTGATTGGTCGGCGTCAGATAAATGGAGGATAGAAAAGAAAGATCCGATGTTGATCACTCCGCATTTCTGCATGTGTGGATGCTTGGATTTCCTGCCTACTCTTGAACATGCAAAACAGTTCTTTACCATTGTACAGTGAACCCTCACCCACTGCCGATTTTATTTATTTATTTATTGACAATAATTTCAACAATTTGCTGGAATACATACGTGGTTATGCCTATCCAAGTATTCTTGTGCTCGTTTGCCAAAATGCAGTGGTGCCTTGAGATGAGCGACTCAGATGATGAGTTTTACAAACTGACCTTTGGACGATTACGCAACTCGCTTCACAATAAACAGCAAATAGTAAACAATTCTTCAAAAAAGAGGCTTCAGGCTGTTTAATGCTACGACCAGTTGATGTTTACTGTCAAACCGAGAAAAAAAAGTTAATTACATGTGGTGCGATTTAAACAACCACACAACTTTGCCTTTAAGTCTGCTAGCTTAATGCTCACACATAATGGGCAACGTCATAGATGGCATCCACGTGGCGACGTCATAATGTGTAGAGGAACGGATATTTGAACCCAAACAGTGTAGACAAATAATATACTAATACCCACGGGCATACATTCTTTATTCTCTGCAAAAATTGGCTCATTACTACAGATATTACTGAGTCATTTACAAAAGCTGAGTAAAACTGTTGATGACGAAACTCTTTCTTTACATGCTATTTAATTATACCATTACTCCATGTTTTAATGAGTACAATATTATAGAGTGCCACTTTCATTATTAAAATTTTTTTTTTGGGTGGCACTGCTTTTCATTGAAATGGGCACAGATGATTTAAATTATGGGTGCTTTGAGTCTGAAGCGCGGCCACGGAACACATCAAATTTTTTATCTCCAGGCTCCACTCCTTGAATTTACAAAATGAGTCCAAAATGTCATCACATGGCAAACTGGTGTTCTTACTTCGAGGTTTATTTTACATTTGCACATTTTGCTCATTCTCGTAAATAGCGAGGGTTCACTGTAATCTAATTAAATAGTAACTATTGGTCTGTCTGTGCTCCATAACGCTCCCATTCCTGCCACTTTTGCATCAGTTGATAACCCTGATGTCCGGCCAATGCCTGCCTACGTGCCAGTGTGCATGCGACATGCTCCAATGAATGACCCGTGATGACTGCTTGTTGGTTTGCATGTAAACAAACTACCATTACAGTTCCCCCTTTCTTTGGGGTTTACATTAAAGTGGAAATCATATAAATATTGATCACTGCCCTACCATACAATCCAATTTTTTTAGTCGATACTAACAAAGGGAGTGCTATTCAAGTACTCGGATACTGCTGGTATTCAATTTCAAGGTCCGATTGTTGTCTTTTGAAGTGAATGCTGCATGTCAAAAGCATGACGCCCACAATGGTGGTCTTGTCTGCATTCTTGAAAGGCTAACCTGAATCAATAAGTTCTTGCTTTTTTTTTTTTTTTTTTCACTGCCACTCTTCCAACTCTTTAACACGGAAGGTAAGGGGAAGACCACTAGAACGTGACGCTCGGAATGTCATGATGATATTTGACCACTTTCCGGACTGTCAACTGTGAGAGTAGTTGACATGGCAACCTTCAAAGTTATGTTTTTTTTCCAAATTGGAAATCACGGCGTGAATTGTCTCCTTCCAATTAACTGTAATGTGTTTTAAATTAAAATGTGTTTTGAAAAATATTGTCAATAATAATTCTGAAAGCTTAAATGCAAATTGTACTTGAAAGTTAAATACAACTGAACTGCGGTTCACAAATGAACTTGACTGGATTGAAAAGCAATAAAAAAATTAAAATGAACATTGTGCGCAGGCTGACCCTTGTCGTTTGGTCAAATCGACATCGGGCTGTTTATCAAACTTCCCAGCACTGGCGTTTGCTGCAAAATGACAGCTTCAATCCAAAATGGCCGACTTCTTGTTCGATTTCAGGCCTGGGTCTTTGAGAGTTTTTTTTATTTTTTAATGTGTCTTGTAATGGTTGACTTGTCCACCTAATTTCATGTCGATCAGTGAAACTGGTGTCGGGGGCAAATTTTTTTCTCATTTTCTCTCAGTAGAAGACGGCCGTAAAGGCTGCTTTAAACTAAAGTGGCCAATTTCCTGTTCAATTTCAGGCATGGGTCCTTGAGACTTTTTCATGCAACATGTTATGATAGACATATCCACCCAATTTCGTGTTGATCGGTGACAGTGGTGACGAGGGCAAATTTTTTTTTTTCTAGTTTTCCAATGCTGAAACTCGCCCCAAAATGGCTGCTTTGAACTAAAGTGGCTTACTTCCTGTTCAATATCAGGCATGCGTCCTTGAGACTTTTTCATGCATCGTGCTATGACACCCAATTTTTTATTGATCAGTGAAAGTGGTGATCAGGGAAATTTTTTTTCTAGCTTTCCAGCTCTAGAGTTGGTCCAAAAATGGCTACTTTCAACCTAAATGGTCGATTTCCTGGTCAATCTCAGGCGTGAGTCCTTGAGACTTTTCCGTGCGTCCTGTTTTAATAGACATGTCCACCCAATTTTGTGCCGTTTGGTTATATGGGTGTCATCTCATTCCAAGGGGCGGTTCTCAGTAAATTTTGTTGCCGTGTTATAATTAGGGGACCCCCCGAAAATATAATACAAATATTTTAAGCCAGACCCTTTCCTGTGTCACTGTTCCTGCATAAACATTTCATTAGCCTAATAGCATAATTGCCAAAAAATTTTTGGAAAGTTTTTTTTTTTTTTTTTTTTAATGGTTTCAGAACACCTTGACTTAATTCTTGTCCTTTCTGTGTTGCAGCTTGCAAAACCTTATTAAACAAAAAGTCGGACGGCGTGAAGGTACGTTTCCACGAGCTCCCTCAGTATGACCTGCAGTGACTTTCCACTTTTCTCTTCTTATTCTCAGACTTTTAGGCTATTATTAGATTGCCCGCGTGTGCAGATTTTACTCGGTCGAATTGTTTTATGTTTTTGCTTAAGCAAAAAAAATGTGCTTTTCTTTGTCAAGCTTAGTGGCGCTTAATGTTTGTGCATGCAATAAAGAGTCGGCGTTATTTAAAGAGTTGAAGCCAAAAGACCCCAAACAAGGATTCAAGGCCAACTCAGTAAAACTTTTTTGACCTGGCACCATATATAAAAAAATATATATATTTCGCTTACACTGTCGAGACCAACCTCTTTGTGTAATGCGTTTTGACCGGTAAAAAGAAAATTAGCTCTCCGTAGTATTGTACTAAAAGTCAAACCAAACATTAGTAACGTAATTAAGTAAAATGTACCATTTTTTTATGCTTTAAATATTTTGTGCGGTTAATTATTATTATTATTTACATTTTTTTTGCTCAATCCCCCAGCTCAATTGTGTTTTTGGTTTTTTTTTTGTTTTGTTTTGTTTTTAATAATTTTTCTTTTACCATGACGATTAGAACAATCGTCAATTTTTCGCAGATGTACACATTTTTTCTGGCGGGCCTGGTGTCCTAACCCCTGAAAAAAAATTACTACTGAAAACATGATGTACATAAAAGTAAATTAAAATCTGTACCTAAATAAAAGTTTTAAAGCAAACAGTTCTGAGAAAATTTTCAGTTTATTTATTTTTTTTAATAAATGGTGCACATAAAGAAGTGTCAGCTACTCATGGATTTTGGCTGTTCATGGTCGGGCACAGTCCAGTGTCTTTCATCGGAAAAAATCAAAATGATTTGTAGTAAAGAAACCAGTTTGAAAATGTGTAAAAGGAATCTATATTTTAAAAATGAAATTCCTGAAATAAATGACCTTTTCAAACTTATTGCGCCGCACCTGTATATTTTCATGATCTGAGTGCTTTTTTTTATACTTGTTTTTCTATCAATGGCTTACTATTTTTTTTAAGCCGTCAGCTTCCCCCCCACCCCCTATGTGCGCCAAAATGTGTCCGCTTCTTCGTTTTGATTATGATTTTCTTGCTCCTTTATTTTCCTCCTCCTCTTCATCGCTGTCTTGTCAGAAAAGGAAGTCCAGCTCGAGTGTTTGTTTGATGGTGAGATGATGAGCCCGTGTCGCTCGCTCGCTCGCTGTCTATTCGTTCATCTGGTTGTCTGTCTTGATACCTCTTTGAACAAGTCTTCCCCGGGCAAAGACGCTTGAGCCGCGTGACGCTTTTCATGATGTTTCATTCATGTTCCGATGGCCATCCTCCCATCCTTGCATATCTTCGTGCCATCCACGCACGCAAACACACACATCTTGTTGTTTTTAAGTAGATGAGTGGAGGAAGAGGAGATATGCAGTAGAAAGAAGGTGCACACTCCCATTTCGCCAAGGAACAAACCGTGTGTTGTTGTTGTTTTTTTTTTTTGTTGCGATGTGTATATTGTCATGGAATGCATTGTTATTCCTTGGCCACTTGCCCTTCATCCATCCATCATTCATCCCTGCATGGTAAAGTGTTTCCTACTTCCCGCCAGGATTCGCAGACCACTGTCGTGCACAACCCAACCGAGGGTACCAAGGTAAGATGCTCACTGTAAATTGGAGAAAAAAAAAAGAGAAAGAAATCTGAGGATTAGAAATACATCATGGGTATATAGGCAAAAAAAATTTCAAGATCAAAAAAAATTTATATAGAAATTATAATAAAAGTAGTAAAGGAAAAAACTCTTCTAAATAGTAATAAATATATATTTAGATACTGTATGTAGATTTAAAAAATACTTCATAGCACTCATTTAATAAAAATCAGGAAATCAACTTGAAAATAGTAGTGTAAAAAAAGTCATCAAAATCATGAAAAAATCTATTTTCTATATATTGTAGAATTCTTGGTGGACCCACAAAAAAAAAATCATAAACATAATACATTTTTTTAAATCATAAAAATATATAATACAAATACAATAACAATGTTTAAAAATGAAAAAGTAGACAATAACTTCTTTAGTATGTTCAGCGGATTAAGCCGTATTTAACCTAAAGGTGACCACAATTAGTCAACAAATTTTAGTATATCGTCGCTGTTCTGTGATAGGCACATGTCCACATTTTTGTCATTGTTTTTGAAATGTTTATGTTAATGAGGTGTCCACCGGTTCAGATACTGCATTCACGTAAACATTTAAAAAAAGGGCAAATGTATTTTTAACAGGATAACGACGATATGCTCAGCCATTGCAGTGGTTCAATAAACATTTTTCAATAGCGTTGAAATATATACATATCCACATATATCTAATCATATGCATGAATGCTACCGAGGCTGGTTTGTGCTCCTGAGAGGTCTTTGTGTGTCCATCTGTCCATTCGTCAGGCTTGTTTCATACGTCGTGTGGTGTCATTCGTCTTTTTATTTTTTTTCTGATCTTTCTCAAACATTTGGCGTTGTTTTCCCGGCAGGGCTCAACGGAGAGTTGCAACAACGCCGAAGAGGAGGAGATGAAAGGTAGGAAAGGTACTTGTCCACTTTCATCTTCTCAGCATGCTGCTTTTCAATTCTGAAATGACATTGCTCGCCAAAACAACAGCACCTACCGAGGATGGGAACCAGTCTCACAGATGGAATTCAAATGTGCTGTCTTGTTGATCCACAATGTGGTTTCCTTCTCCATAAGAGACTGTTTGTTTGGGTTTGTTTCATTTTTCATGTAGTTTTAACTGCAGTTCCACTGATTTAAATGACATTTTTTTTAAGTTGTCTGAAAATGACCTCCTGTCATCTGCAGTTGAGTGCATAATAAAACGCCCCCAGTTGTAATTTGTAGTACAACCTTTCAAAAATTAAAATGAATGTGATTTAACATTTAAATGCTATTTGAAGGCGGCACAGTAAGCGACTGGTTAGCATGTCCGCCTCACAGTGCAGATGTGCAGAGTTCGATTCCAGATTCTGGATGGAGTTTGTATGTGCTCCCCCGTACCTGTGTGGGTTTTCTCCGGTTACTCCGCTTTCCTCCCACGTTCCAAAAACATGCATGGCAGGTTAATGGAGCACTCGAAATTGTCCCAAGGTGTGAGTGTGAGCACGAATGGTTATTCGTTTCTGTGTGCCATGTGAGGATCAGGGGATCCGAAAATGGATGCATGTTATTTGGAAAAAAAGGTTATATTTTGTAACAGTCAGCATATTGTTTCTATATTAAATACTGTGATTTTGTATGGTTTTTTTGTTTTTTTTTGGGGGGGGGGTCAAATTATAAAACAGTCAAAAATATGCGAGCGATATCTTGTAATATTCAAATTTTGTTTGGAAAAAAAAATTTGCGGTATCAATGCAGAAGCTCCTGTCCGTGATCTGGCTACGTTAGCATATGGGTGGTGTCGTGCCTGAACGGCACATGGTGGCACTGACACTTAATCCTGTAATTAGTCTCAGGACCTGCTAATCTTCTTACAAGAAGTCCAGAGCTAACAAAGCACGTCATGAAAGAAAATTGGGAGGTCTGTGTGTTCCCCGACGAGGAAGAAACTCTTACAGGACAGGACAGGATGATGATAGGTTTCTTCTCTAGTCGTTTGTGCTAATATGTTAGCATTAGCGCATGTTTAACATTCTAAAGCGCGTGATCAGGATATTACCGAGCCCAGGTTTTAAGGTTGAACTCCTAATCCTAGACTTTTACTTCTAACTCATTAAACCTATACTGTAAGTCATAGCACTCTATAATCTTATCCATAATTATAACCCCACATCCCACACACCAACCGATAAACTTCACCCACTCACCCCCATTACCGTTTCCCAATCCACTTTGTGCCCGGTAAACCAACCGCCATCAATCAACTCTTCTTTAATGACACTTTCCAGTCCTCTGCTGCCACCTAGTGGCACTCAGGACCTTTTGCAGACATTCACAACAGTCACACGTCAGGAGCCCACGACACTCGATCATTCTGGATGTGTCGCTTCTCGTTTTTCCAATAAATCGGTTAAATGATGATGACACCGTTTGAGGTATTTGAACTCCCGTTCATGTGTTTTGTATTTTTTAATTTACCGTTTGGCCGGTTTAGGGTCTGTAACTTCCAATTTATTAAGGGTGTCACGAAAACTGATTTAAACTGAAAAATCGGCTTGGATTCAACTAAACCCAATCGAATCATCACATTTTAAAATGTATCATCCTTGACTGGTATCGAGATACGTGTTGAATCATCTTTTATGAGTGATGCTCACCATGTATAAATTCCTATAAATTGGTTTGATGTTGTTGATCATTTGTTTTATGGTTGAGTTGAATTAACTTGAATAGTTGGGGCTCTGGAGAGCTTTAAATGTTGTTAAATATGAAGAAACATGACAAAAGCCAGATCGTATCAAATTGAATCGTAATCACGCTAAATCTCACGCTAAATCGAGCCCCGTCGAATCGTTCTAATTGAAAATGTACCATTCTTCAATCATATCGGAACCCATCAATCAAGATACAGTATTGATGAAATTGTCTTTTTCTTTGTTTCAAGGTCTTTCACTTCCTGTTTTAGGATCTTAACTTCCTGTTTGTTTGTTTGTTTGTCTACAAATTCTCTGCTTGCTGTTTGTGTTTCATCATCTTTAATTTCCCGTTTGTATATTTTCAAGGTCTTTGACTTCCTGTTGCAAAGTTTTTAAATTCCTGTTTGTCTACTTTCAGGGCGCAAACAAGAGATCATCAAGATGACCGAGCAGCTGATTGAAGCCATCAACAATGGCGACTTTGAGGCCTACACGTATGTTTTTTTTGTAGTTGTTGTTCTTTTATCACGATGTGTTCATCTCCAAATTTGAAGCAAAATTAATTTTCATGACACCAGTTGACCTGTTATCGTAGAACCTCTGTTTGAAGAAAAATCACGAAAATGGGAGTTAGGGATATTGCTGGATGCATACTATGTCCGCATGTGCTATTCGAGTGCAAACAATACGTTCCGGTGGTGTCCATGAAGTTTCCTGTATCATTTTTGTTGTCACGTGACAGGAGAATCTGTGATCCAGGCCTGACCTCCTTTGAGCCGGAAGCTCTGGGGAATCTGGTGGAAGGCATGGACTTCCACAAGTTCTACTTTGACAACTGTACGTTCGACTTTTTGGTCCTCGTTTATACCGATCACAATGTTGGATACGCCTTCATTTAGCAATATTGTTCTCATCGTCTTTGTATCTATACTGTATGTACTGATTTAACGCTCACCTCTGGTTATGACGAAACTAAGCTAGGTGGCCATCTGCTTCCTTCTCCCCAATCAGTATTGAGTAAGAACAACAAGCCGGTGCACACCACCATCCTGAACCCTCACGTGCATCTGATGGGCGAGGATGCAGCGTGCATCGCCTACATCCGCCTGACGCAATACATGGACGCGCAGGGCCGCCCGCGCTCCTGCCAGTCGGAAGAGACGCGCGTGTGGCAGCGCCGCGACGCCAAGTGGCTCAACGTCCACTTCCACTGCTCGGGAGCTCCCGCCGCGCCGCTGCAGTGAACGCAACGCGTGGTAAGGTCTGACCGGACCAAGACAGATGTGCGCCATTTCTGTTGGTTACACATTACAATTTGACATTTCGGTACAGATATTAGAAAGTTGACGCACATGATTTGCTTTCGCGGGCCACTTAAAATGACCTGGTTGGATCTGGCCCCCGGGCCTTGAGTTTGACACGTGTGAAATAGAGCTTACAGAACCGCTGCAGCTGTAACAAAGTGCTTTACAGAACATTTAAAAATACTATGTCCATATAAGGTGCATTTTGAGAACATTTTATGCTTTTAGGTGCGCATTATGGTGCAGAAAATACTGCACTTATTTTTGTTTCATTTGACGTTCAGGCTCTGATTAGGGGAAAAAATGAAGTTATTCACCAGTAGTCTTACTTGAGTACCAGTTTTGCCTACTGTGCCTATTTCTGCAAACTCATGACTAGTTTTCACGTTCTTTCTCCCTCAGCTCGTCTTCAACTCTTCAAGCTGTTTGGTGGAGCGTTGACTCTGCCGTGCCTGCGAGCATCCTGGCCTGGAACGAGGGTAACAACTTACAAGCTGAGGGGGGCACAATACAACAGTGGTGACAATGTCAAAAGAGGGAATAGACAAACACAAAAACAACAAAACCACTTATTAAAAACAATAACAACAAAACTAATTAGCTTGACTGAAAGAGCAGGAGGCCCACTAACGGACCGGTGCGGTTCCTCCACGTGGATGGTGCATGTTTGCCGAGGGTGCGCGGGTTCAATGCCGCCGCCCCGCCCCTGTCGTCTTGTCTGCTTGCCCGCACACACACACACACACACACACACACACACACACACACACACACACACACACACACACACACAAGGCGAATTGTGAGGCACTAATGAGAAATTAGCATAAATGTCCGATTTTGGACTTTGTTTAGTCACGTTACTTAAAGGGACCTTCATTTTTTTAATTATGATTATTTTCTACTCTTATTGGTGTTTTTTATGTATTTTAACATACTTTGGGGAGTTTTTATTTAATGTGTGAATTGATATGATGTATTGATATGCAAGATGTACAGTGTGTGTGTGCATGGGAAGCCGTTTGAGCATTTATTTTATACTTGATATCCACGTTAAGCTCGAGTATGCTCATTGTTTTCACTAGTAAGGCAATTCAGCACACAAGTAGAATGACTGTGACTAGTCAAAATATTTCCAACTACTCGTGCTTTGTCCTCACTAGTCAGACAGTTCTACGCACTAGTACAACGGTCTCACGTTTTTTTCGCACAGAAATGTCATCGGGTGGTGAATAAAACGTTCACCTGGACAAAGTCTTTCTACAAAGAACCAGTGTGCTGTATTTCAAGCCATTTGATTATTTATTTGATATCCTTGACATCCGCTTTAGCATTCGCACACTAGTACGCTTGTTATCTTGACTAGGAAGACAATTCAACGCACTAGTAAAATGACGAGAACACACTAGAAGAAAAACGTTTTTTGCTTTTTTTTTTTTAATTAAATCACTGCTTGTACCACGTTTAGCCTACCGGCATTCAATTAAACCATACTATTAAACTATACAGTGTTGCACAAGTGACAATGTTGTCCCAATTAGTAGGCATGCGTCATGCACGAGCTCAGACTACAAGTAGTTTCACCTCACTAGTAAGTTACATGTGGTTCGTCCTACTAGTTGTCCGACCTAGTGTGCGAAAAGACTTGTCTTTATGGAAAGCTGCATTTATTCAATATCCTCGATGTCCACCTCAAGGTCCGTGTATTAGTACAACATGCGTCCTCGCTCGTATGACAGATCAACGAGTAGGATTTTTACCATGTGTTGTAATTTATATTTATGACGTTTCTTTTTTCAAAAAAATGCACCTGTTGCTGTATCGAATTTATAAATTATTATTATTATTATTATTACCGTGCATATTATCATCATTATGAAAATCTGATGTGGTTGAGAAAAAACGAGAGCAGATTCAGAACTGGAGCAAAAAAAAAAAAAAAAAAGAAAATCCTGATGAAAAGTTCTCCGGTTAAAAAAGTAAGTTACAAAAAAAAATAGTTGACTATTTTGAAAGGCCGAAGATCCACCGGTACGACGCGCTGGCAGATTTCGTGTTCGTCACACTATTTAGCATGCGTACACGTACTATTAGCTTCCTTGACTCCGCTAGTAGAAGCATAATGCTGTTTTTGGCTCGCTAATAACAAATAGTTGCCCACTGGAATGCCAGTGTTGCCCTACTTGGGTGCAGAAATGTCATAAAGGGTTTTTTGGGGGGGGGGGGTCGTTCGAATAGCGCACTGAAATGTCTTGCTAATGAGGGACAACGTGTGAACTCGTACATGGACCTTAAGGTGGTTATCAAGGAGATGGAATAAATGCTCAAAATATTCTCCATGTACTTTTGCGTCAGCATGATTCCCCGTCCACCGGCGTGGACTGTTTATCCGACTGTTGTTCCTCTTCCTCCCTTGTCTTCATCGTGATGATAAATGATGATGTCATCCACACCCCCGCCCCAAGTCTCGTGTTTCTTGTCCATCTCGAGTTGCCGTACTTGTGTGTTTCGCTTCTACAAGCATGTTTGTGGATTGTCGGCTGAAACACGAGGCAAAGAACAAAAAAAAAACGAGAAAAAATGTTTTTAAAAAATTCAAGGCATGATGGGAGGAATCGTCCTTAAAGGAGCTTTTTGTCTTTGTTTTTGTTTTTTCTGGCTGAAGGCAATCGACCGGCAGGTCCTTTCTTTGTTGTAAATGTACTTGTTGTTCAGTGTTTTGGATGTTTTTTCAAAGTCAGAACTGGAAAAAGGGTTTAAATGTATGAAACTGCTGCAAGCCTTTGCTACTGTCACACACGTACAAGAAGTCACATGAGCACATGCAATCCAACGTCGTCCCTTTAAGAGGAAACAGTGCAAACGTTTTTTTGCACCATCATATCTTGGTCCAATATCATGTCTCCAGAATTGTGACACCATTAGGCACAACATTTTATTTTTATGATAGCTCATCGTCAGATTTTTTTTTTCTGGATATTATCTCAAATCACCTCTGAACCACGAAAATTACCTTTATTTGTGTGGGTTTTTTTTTTTTGGTAGTTTCTTCACCTTTTGTTATCTTTATTTTTGTAGGATGTTTTTTTCTGTTCTTTTTTCCACTATTAGAATAAAACAGATTATTTTTTAATAAAACAATTTTGTTTAATAGTTTTATTCATTTCAGTTTTCCCCTATTTTTGTATTTTCCGTAAATTATTTTGAAATCTGTGTGAAAAAAATCTCAATCAGACAAAAATGTGCTATATTTTGAATTTATTTTCATTTTTTTAAATTACTTTTCCCTACTAACATTGTGTTTTTGTCATTTAAATTGTTAATTTTTTTCATTTTTGTGTTACATTATTTTGGTTTTTCATACATACTGAGATTAGATGTTTTTTTTTCTTTTTATGTAATTATTCATTTGTTTTCAATTCCTCACATGATTATTTTTTTTAATTTAAGCATTTCGATTTTATTTCTCCATGATAATTTTAACACCAGGTCAACATTGTGCACTGCACCTGTCACTTTTTTTTTTTTTAATTTTGGGAGTGTTATCCCATCCGTGATGTCACTCCAGCTTCCTAGCTTCCATTTGTTTTCCACCTGACAGACAAGACAGGGTATGGATCTACTTTTGAATCTATGTGTTGTACATAATGTCACGTGACCAAATAGAAAGTGATTGCACCAACTACCTAAACTTTAAACACGTTCATCCACTGTGCAGCTTTTACATCATATAAATATTGACTGTTTGCAGAGGAAAAACATGTGTGACACTTATTGTCCAAGCCACAGCAACCATACATAAATATCAAAATATATGCAGTTTTACACGATGATGATGATGAAATATGCATGTGTACTTTCTAGTCATTTTTCACCTTTAACTGGATGGACAGTTGAGAATGACTCATGTCACAGAGTAGAAGAAAGCCTTATTAGCTTTTTGGCGAGAGTGTGTTGTTTAAAAAAAAAAAAAAAACGAAAGAAAGAAAGAATAACATATGATAAAGTCGGATGCCAGGTTTGTTTTTGCATGGGCATAAAATTAAATCATGACAGTGGTACATTTTCAAAGCTGTTTGTGTGGATGGTTGTTCTTCATAGCTTGGTTATTACTGGAATATTGAAGTGTATTTAATTAAAAAAAGCATTTCAACAGTTTGCGGTTTGCCTTATTTTTTTTTTTAGTAAACGTAGACATTCGTGTAAATAGTTGTAAATACCAGTTGTGAGGTAAATATTATGTTAATCAGTATGTGTATTAGCATAATGCTTTATGACCCCGTGTATTGTAGGCCAGAAGGCACGGTTTAAATAATTTCATCATCTAAGATTTCAGGGTTTTTTTTCTTTGTTTTTCCCTTATAATCCTAATTATTTGCGATTGTTGATTTCTTGTTTATAATTCAACACAATTCATAGAAAATGAAAGGTCCTCTCCAGTGTGTTTTCATCGGTATCGAGCGAGGAGGGGTGGCTTTGGCACAGGGCGCCATTCAAACTCGCCACAGGGGGGCGCCAGAGACCAACTAATTTAAAGTGAGTGTATTTATTGCAGGAATGGTAAATAATGCATTCATTCACCCATCCATTCATTTTCCGAACCGCTTTATCCTCGCGGGGGGGGGGGGTCCTAGACCTATCGCGGGGGACACCCTGAACCGGTTGCCAGCCAATGACAGTAAATATATATATGTATGTATTGTCATGATTCGTCATATGGATCAGACTGCCCCCGCAAAACAGGCTAATTTCAGTAACAACTAAAATACTGCACTGTAATTACTGATTCTTGGCGTGTTTTCACAAAAGGATGTCCCAACCACGTGAGTAAGACCCCAGGGAACCAGTTTCACTTTGAAAAAGGCCAGAATTTATGCCTAAATATGACAATAGCCATGAATTCTTTCCATTCAACAGGAGGCAGAAGGTTGCAATGCGCTGACATTATTTCCCTTTGGTATTAAGTCATTAGTCCACACGCCTCTGTATCATTAAACGGGGGGCTTTATTTGTCAAACATTGATTTCCAATTTCAGCACCAGCAGAGTGGCAGACCATCAGCGAGACCTTCATCGTCCAGGTATTCCGATCAATATTTTCTTATATTCATGCCATACCAAATGGTGATTTTTCAATAGCAAACAGAAGCCAGGAGGACTACTTCTTTCTTGTGTTGAAGGTTTTTTTCGGGTAAGTAATCGTCTAAAACAGCTCTTGCCCTGATCCCAGGCCGTGTGTTTTCAATTAATGAGTCATCCATCACTTGTTGATTATGTGTCTCCTGTGCTCCGGGCATTGATCTGGAATCAATATGCAAGTTGCTGAGCCACCACAATCACCGTAGTGTGTGCATCCTTACCTGTCAATGACAACAAATGTGACTTTTATTCACCTCATACTTGAGCTGCAACATATCATTTTGTCATTACCCCCTTAACAGAAAAAAACGCACATTTTCGAGTGTTTAAGGTAGTTTGAATAAATGTTTATTTCTTGTATTTATTAAATATGGAATTGGATTAACCTCAAGGACATTTCACTTTATAAAAATGTATTCGCAGTTCATTTTATCGTGTACACGGTGTCATTCAAAAGTGGACCCTTACGAAATTATACAGGTATGTTTAAACAAGAGAGTCATTCTTGTTGAAAATGACCACTACAAGTAGTTTTTTTTTTGTCTTCCCACAAGCAACACCAACGTACGTACAATATTATTTTTATTTTTTTTCCTTTAATAATCTAATACAAGTACATTAATAACTGTACGTAATGTGTGGGTGTATTCTAATTCACTTGAGCCCCCCCCCCCAAAAAAAACAACTTAAAATAAAAACAAAACAACAACAAAAGATAAAACGAGAACCGAAGAGCAAGGCCCTATTTTTTCTCTCGGAGTAGGATGCGCCCAGGGAGCTAGCGAGGGAGAATGAGGGAGAGAGAGCGAGCGAGCGAGAGATGGAGGGGGTGGTGCTTAGGTCTCCTCAGCTGCTTCTGTTCAGCCCCATTAGCGACCAGGGGATGAATGGAGTTACACGTACTTTTTTTCGGACACGAGGACTGATACTGCTGTCTGGAATCTGAAAAGGCTGGATTATTATTCACATTTTTTAATTTTTATATACTTTATATATATTATATATTTTTGCGACAATGTATTTTATCTAGCACCCCGGGATTTATCCGTCTTTCATGGACGCTGCTGGTTTTGAAATGGCTTCGAGAGAACAGCTGGGTCGTGTCGAGACATTTGTGGATTAACCTTTCTTTTTTCCCCCTCCTTTTGCCCCCCCCCAATTTCTGCTCAAAGCCGCCAAAATGCGCCTCTTTTTAAACCAATCAACCACATGAGTGAAGTCTAAAGCAACCCGTCACATTCACACCCCTCCCTCCCCATTTTCTTTCCATATACCGCAATCAACGTGCTAGTAAAATATGGAAAGTGAGGTTTTTAGCCCCCTGCTGGAGCATTTCATGCTGTCACCCCTTGTCTGCTGGGTAAGTCCATTCTCCAATCACATGAATGTATTCAAATTGGTGATTTATTTGAGGTGTGGTGTCTGTCCCCCCCCCAAAGGCATGCCTGTTTATTTATGATAGATTTAGCTGACTATGTGACTGAACTTCAACTTTACAATTGGTAACATTCAACCTTGTTAGCTTAGCTGCCAACTTGCTAACCTGATTAATAACCCAACCTTACATCACTAACATTATTGTTTTTTGTGGGGGTGTGGGGGGGGGGGGGGGGGGTCGTGCGCCTCTGGGGGTGCATGTGATTAAGAAGTGTCACAAGGGTTGGAGTGATTTTATATTGGCCATGAACAGAGGCTTTGTTTTGACTTTTTGGAGAGAGTATACTTTGGGTAGAGGGGGGTGCGTTAACTCTGTTGGCATATTGAAGGTGGTGCATGGCTCAATTGGATCATGCTAATAAACATGAAGCATTTAACTGGTTATGAACAGGCTCTCTTTATCGGGCTGAAACAATTAGCAACTTAATTTGAAAACGGTGCGTAAAAGGGAATGTCCAAAATCTGAGATTAAAACAAAAAAACAAACCAAAAAAAAAACGTAATAAGCACATTCATACACAAGATGCTACAGTTACAGGTGTGAACAAGCTGTGAATACATTTTAAAGCCAAACACTTATTTGTCACAGATACAGTGAGCAATTTAAAAATGGCCACCCCAAGTGGACAACAACAATACCTGTTCATCACAGGCACATTTTGTTGTTTCATGATGCCAAATTAATTTGTATCCGATTATGGAATGGGCCAATCGGTAGAATAAGCGATTCTAAAAAAAATAAATAAACTGCTGAAACACCCTTAGGAAAGGCAAAGAGCTCTTGTATTTAACAATAGTAGACCCAATCAACTATTCAGCAAGTGAGTGCAGAATACGCAGTCTCGCCCTTTTACCCTTACCTCGCCCCCCAAGGCACACATTAGCCAATTCTTCAAGAAATCTTGTCGAAGCTATCTGCTGGGAGCAAATGTCGGCCACGCACAATGGGGCCTCATATGTGGGCCACTGATGGGTCACGCAGTCAGACGTCTCTGCAGACAATTATGCT